CATACCACAACTGTAATTGCTAGACTTGGACACCACAATATTTTCATTCTTTATATGTGCCTATTACTTTACCTGGGACATATGCACATGCAGTGGTTTACTGATTCAATCCAATATGTCTGACTGCCAGCCATTTTGTTTATTGAAAATGTGGAATATGGTCAAATGTCAAAGATGGTTGACTGCTTGCAATCTTGCTTTACGGCAATACTACTATATCTCTGTACACGAGCCCAGACAAAGGAAATTCGGTTTCGATACAAAAATGCAAGAATGGCCAATTCTGTTTAATTTTTGACCATATATTTCGGTTTTAGAAGAGTAATTTAATACATCTAATTTCTGGTGATACTAGATCAGCCATTTATTCTCTCTAAATTACGAATTATGCTTTTGGTCTGTAACTTTATTTTTGGCATGAAAAATACTATAAAATCTACACTAAAAAGATTTTAACAAAGAAAGCCAATTATATTGTGAAGAGTGGGTGGGGAAGTAAGGTCTGCCTTGTAGTCAAACATTGCAGTGGAATGAGAAAGAACTGGTTGCACCTTTATAGTAGAAATCCACACCACTGTAAATATCAAATATTATTCAAATATTATTCATAATCATGGCTTCAGATAATTACATTTTAAAGATCACATTTGAATAATCAGGGTATTAAGTAATGTTGTGTAAAGGTTGCATTTGCATATTAATTACAATCTGATTACTGTCTGATGATTCATTATTAGAATCATCATCAGACAGTGGGTCTTCATCATATATGTAGTTCTGAATATAGGTAGTTTTTAACATGTCATTCAATGTAAATACAACTGCTGAATGAGTAATACGAATAGGTGTTTGTTGAGGTGACACAATCAGTCAATCAGACTGCATAAAATCTCGGCTACATTTAGTGTTGTGTCATGAGTCTTGCATTGCACAAACAATTACGACCCTCCTCCTTATGCATGCACAGATTAAAGTAACCCTCCCCTCGACACATTCACAAAAAATCAGTGACCCATCCCCAAAAA